AGAGAGAGAGAGAGAGAAAGAGAGAGGAATGACATCAATGAAAAAGCTACAAACTAATGTGTTTTCAAATATGATATCACAAACCTGTCAGAGCAAAGAGATATGCAAAGACGAAAAATAATTCACAGAGTGTATCAACCTTTCACCTTATCAAAAAATTATTTGATAAAATAACTGAACATTAAATAGACCACACCTAATTTTTTTTTTTTGTGTGTGTGGCAGTACTGAGATAGAACCAAAGGATGCTTTAGCACTGATCTACAGTCCCAGTCCTTTATAATTTCTATTTTGACATAAGGTCTTGCTAATTGCTTAGGGCCTTGTTAAGTTGTTGATGCTGACTTTAAACTCGTGATCTTCCTGGGTCAGCTTCCTGAGTGACTGGGATTGCCAGCATGTGCCACCATGCTGGCCAGAAATCTCATGATAGAGAAAATAAAAGGGCAAGTTAACAAGGCAACAGTCGTGAGCAGCAATATATTTCTCCTTCCATCCTCTCTTTCCATTAATACAACTAGATGAATAAGAATATAATACCTCCAAATGTGATCCATAAGCACTATCAATGCAAGTCTCTTGAAATGGAAAAGACATGCTGTAAGGAAATTTCTAATTTGTACTATACTAACTCAGAAATATAAAGGGTTTGATAATTACGGAAACAATGTGAAGTGGAAGCACGTACGGTTCTCATTGGGCCAGGAGGTGAAAGAAGGGGTACAGAAAGAGAAAAGGTGAGCTTCATCTCATTTGGTTGGGTAAGAAGTAAAGCAGGGAATTGTGATGGGGGAAATGAATGGTTAGGAACATAGTCGCTGGAAACTATCGACTGGGATAAAAAAAAAAACAGAATGAAACCTCACTTAGGTTGCGTTAATGGCTAAAATTAAAGATTGAACAGAAGTCAGAGGCAAATTCAAATAAAGAAATAGAAGAAATGTGTGGTGGAATTTGCAGATGTGTTTTGTAGTTCAGTCACCTAAAGATAAGATTTATAAGAAATAAAATCTGAAATTAATGAATAACAAACAAAAGTTAGAAAAAAGATAAATATCAAAAATTTATTGTCAAAATATCCATAAAATAGATGAGCATCTTACAGTTTTGATTAAAGAATGAGAAAAAATCCATAATGATTAACAATGAGAAAAAAAAATCATCACAGCTTAGAAAGAAATTTACAATAACTATAAGATAAAAATGCATGCAACTCTAGGGTAATAAACTTGAAAAACTGATTTCATAACAAAATAAGTTACCAAAATTGGTTTAAGAGTAGATGAATTCATTGAATTAAAGGAAAGGTGATTATACTTACCATATTGAGAAATTCACTACCATCAGGCATTCTCACTGCAGAATCGTAGCTGATCTTTACAGAGCAGGTAATTGCAATATTAATTGAACTGTAGAGGAAGGAAGCCTTCTAAATGCATTTAATTTACACAGAATAACTTCAAGACAAAACCCAAAGAGGTCAAAAAATAAAACCATAAACTACTCTACCAAAGGAATGTACAGGATAACTCTTAATTAATTTTACCCAATAAATCTACAATGTTTCAAAAGAAGAATACATTTAACAGGGAAGATTTTTTTTTCCTCAGATTTTCAGGAGTTGTTTAATTCCAGGAAATCTGTCAGTGTTATTTTTATTTTATTTATTTTTTTATGTGGTGCTGAGGACCGAACCCAGTGCCTCACATATGTAAGGCAAGTGCTCAACCACTGAGCTACAATCCCAGCCCTGCCAGGGTTATTTTTATATCAACATATTTAAGGAAAAAATGTAGTGATATTAATAGATTTCTAAAGGCATTTGATAGAAATTAGTCATTTCTGATATAATTACTACTAAGCAACATAGAATAAATACAATTAAAAAACATAAAACCACCAAGAAAATACATTTTAAAACATTAAAACTATTTGAATTAAACTAGCTACTAGAAAGGGATACCAATTATCACCATTATATATTTTTTAAAATATTCGTTTAGTTATAGATGGACAAAATATCTTTATTTTACTTATTTATTTTTATGTGGTGCTGAGGATTGAACCCAGTGCTTCAGGCATGCAAGGCAAGCGCTCTACCACTGAGCTATAACCCTGGCCCTATCACCATTATATTTAACATTATCATGGAAGTGCTAACGATTGTAGTAAGATAAGGAAACAAGATCACTGAAACAAACTTTGAAAAAAAAAAGAGATCAAATTATTTCTTTTTGTGATTATTGTATACCTACAAAGTTCAGAAAACTCTAGTAACTGTTATAGGATTCAAAAAGGAAAATGTAGTAAGGGAATGGAATACAAGATAAGTTTTGAAAAAGCAATAGTTTTTCTCTTATAATTGGCTTTCTGTATTCACTAGATGCACATCTTCAGATTCAACCAACTGTTGATTGAAAGTATTTGGGAAAAAAAATCGCATCTGTACTGAACACTTATTAACTTTTCTCCTTGTCATTATTCCCTAATAATATGGAATAACACTATAAACACATCACCTACGCTATATTTGGTATTGTGTAATATTGTATAAAGTAAATTAGAGATGATTTAAAGTATACAAGCGGAGGTAAGTTATTTGCAGTACAGCACAATTTTATCTAAGGGTCTGAGTGTCTTGGATCCTAGGATGGTGAGCGGTCGTGGAACCAACCTCTTGAAGATTCCAAGGGGTATTATGTTCCTTAACATAATACTTCAAAATTAAAGTGGGAAAATTTCTATTTACAATTATTGGAAAAGTAAAAAATACTTAGGAATAAACTAAATAACAAAAGCAAGATGCCTACACAAAGAAAGATATAAAATCTTACTGAAAGAAATAAGATTTGAGCAAATCCAAAGGTGTACCATGT